ACAACTTTACAGTTGCATGATTCAGCCAAATTCATCATTTTAATTCCCTGGTTCTTATAGTTAATTAAACTTTCCCCCTTAGAAATCAGTGACACCTAAAAAATGCTTAACATTTAACTGGATGAGGCTCAAATGTATTTGCTAAACACCACCACACTATTTTATAAGTTTAGCTTCAATGTATAACTTATACCAGTTATTTGTAGTATTACTCTGCTATGATTTTTGAAAAAAAATATGCCATTCTTGCTTTAAAATCACACAAGTTCCTAAATCTGCACATCACAAATTGAATTTACTTTGTACACAATGCAGCTTTTAACAACAACCTAATTTCTTAAAACTGGTAAAAGATAAAACTCTGAAGTATGTCAGGGTGTACTCAGATCAATTTCAAAAATATTGCATGTTTATGGTATAATTTAAAAGTAGAGGATTTTTGGTTTTGCATGTGAGTTTTTAAATTTTGTATGATGTATGCTAACATCTATTACTGAAACCAAACAAAACTTATGAAAAATCTGCCACAGTTGAATAATTGCAGCAACAACAAAAACTTGAGTTTTCCTGACAATTATTTGTAGCTTGTATGCCTGATTTTAAAAAATTACACAAGCAGTAAAATATTGTTCCTATCGACTATTACACTTTCATTTATTTTTTGAACATATAGTACAGAGACTGTAATGGATAGCTCTTACAAGTCTATCAACAGATCTCTTAATCATTTATGTGGGATAGTGGTTGCTTTCATTGTTTCCTTCTCAAAATTACTATAAAGGCATATTGGAGCTTGTGCAGTTTAAGCATAGTCAAGTCATACTAACATGCTTTATTTCAATGAAAGTATTGAGCACTTTCTTAAGTCTCTCCCAGTGAAAGCAAATATATTTTTAACGGTGCAATTCTATACATGGCTACTCAAAAGCAAGTCCTACTTAATTCAGTTGAGGCTTATTCTGAGGAAACTGGGTATAGGTTTGCAGCCTAAAATACTGCACTGTGGAGTGTCTACACATTTTAAAATATATTGTAACTGGTGTTAGTATTTTTATTGTATCTGTAAGTTTCTTTGAATCATTTGAGTAAAGTGACTAATAAAATAGCAAAAATAATGATTTTAAAACAACCTGTTTGATTTGCATTTCATAGAACATAATATCCAGAATGTTAAAAAACAGTATTCAGTAATATTTCAGTAAAACTTATTTGGTGTGTATTGGTTACCCAGAAAAGTGTTTGGCTGTTGAATCTGAGGGTTGTGTCATGGTTCCCCCCTCCCTTTCTTTCTGTATTTTAAAAATAGTGAAAGTGAGTATTAAGGATTTCTTTGCACGCTCTCTCTCTCTCTTTGTGTGTGTGTGTACACACACACATACACATACATACACCAAATCAAAATAAAATATAGAAATTGAATAAAATTCATGCAAAAATACAGTCATGTATGGTTTATTAAATTATTCTTTAGTCATTGTTTCCTTTTTTAATAAAACATAACTTTATTTTTTTAAAAAACTAGAAGTAGTATCCATATTAGTAAAATCCATTGTGTAAATGGTAGCTCTTTATTTTAATGATTATATCGATGTTTGAGGTGATTATAACAGTGTTATGCATGCAGTAATTTGTTTTTATAATGCAAAAATGCAAACAGCTTTGCCAGCTGAAATAAACAAGTCCCTGTCAGAAGAGTAGTGAAAAAAGGCTATTTAACACTTAATGAAATATTAAAATAATGTCAGGTGAAAGTCCCCAGTGTGGATAATTTTTATCAGGGTAAGTTTGCACTTCTAATATAACATATCTAAAATCCATACTGATTTCTTTATATAATAATTAAAATACTGATTTTCAGCTAAGTTGGGTCCACATTTATGTATTGCATAAATAATAGTGTATTTATTATTTTAGAAAATTGTACATCATATGTTTTAATAAATAAATTACTGTTTGTGTATGACTTGAGCTGCACTGAGAGAGTGGCTGGAAATGAATTGCATACGTAAGTGTATTTTATTTTAAAATCTGGATCTTTTCTTTGTCTATACTTTGTATTCAAGTGCCCAGAATTTTATTTAAAAAAAGTGCTGGATTCAGTGTCTTTCAATTTCTATGAGTTGGATATAAAATTTGTTGGTTGGTATTAGCTAATACTCATGGTTTCAGTAGAGAACAGGTTGTAGAGCTCAGGTAGTTTTGTCATTTCCCAGGTGGACTCTTGATTCTGATGAGTTATTAGATGATTTTTCCTGAAGCTTAGTGCCTCAGTTCAACCCCACGATAATAAACGTAAGTGTGCTGTTGGGCTATATTTAGAATACTTTTCCTTTTTAAAAAGGTGAATATTCTACCATTTTTATTTTTATATAAGAGAACCTCTGTTTGATACAAGCTCAATATATTGTATGCGTAGTTCATATGTTCACGCTATGTTCAGATGGTCTTTTTTAAAAAAATAAAGCTCCGAGTTCAAAACTCTGTTACAATGAATTTTAAAAACTAAAAGACTTTATCCACCCATCCTTGGCATGTGAATGAAGCTGATGGAGAAATGATGTCCATTGCTATTTTGCTGTTCTCTGAGGATTCTGAACTACAGTTCCTAGATGGGTTGACTGATTTTCAGTACTAAAAGGTTATAGAACAGAATCTTCTCTCCTGGAATTTTACTAGCCTTTGGACAGACTAAAATATGCAACTTGGTTCAACTTGCACTTCACTTCCTTTTTCTTTCTTTTTTGTCCCACTTTCGTTGCATATGCCCAGTTTCATTGCTGAAATTACTTACCCAATTATTTTTTAACTAACCATTGTAATAGTTACTAATTCTAGTCTAACATCAGACTGAACTAGAGTAATATCAAATTGCAAACTGTTACTGTTGTGTAAGGAGTGGCTGTTATGTGTGGCCTGACCAGTCATGATAAAGGTTTAGCATGGCCTTAAGCATTAAACAGTTTGCCCACTTTATCTTTGTTAGCCAGATATTTTCAGGCTCCCATCTTCAAACAATCAAACAATTCAAACGACTGGAAGGAAAATATATTTATTCGGGTTAATAGTAATATAGACTCAACAGCAAGCACAAGAGCCAGAAGTCATTATTTTGTGGTACATAAGAAAGGTGAAAAGTTCATAACTGAACAAAAACTACAAAGATGTCCCAACAGTTGGCACATCTCTCCTGCCAAGCTGTTAAAGACAAGAGAGCAGGAGAGATTGGCTGTGAGACACTCACTCTCAGAATCTGTTGTGCATAACATGCATGCTTCAACTAGGCAGGTGCATCTGATCCCACCCAGAAAGGGATGGTGACAAGACCACCTTCTTTCTCCAGATCCAGCGCTCCTCCTGTTCAGCCCGCACCCTCTGGCTGGTTGAAGTCTTTCCCCTTGACATGAGGTTCTGCACTCCACATTAGGAGAGGGGGTTGGCAGATATGCTTTCTTCTGTCTGACATCTAGAAAGAGAAGGAAAGGACCTCTTTCCCTTAATCCTTGTGGGCCCCTTTCCAGTCCCCATTTGCTGCAGCTTCCTCCTCTTGAGTCTGGGGCTGCCTATTCATGCCACGTCCTGCTTGGAGCCAAGGGGCCCATGACAGATAACTGGCTCAGGTTCTAAAGTAGTTGGCGTTATTTTATGTATATAATCAATCAATATGCAATCTTTCCTTAAACCTTATAGTATCAAAAACTTACTTGGCGTGAGTCTTCCTGTTTGGTGCCTATCACTGAAAAGTACATACCTTGTTGACATTGCCCTCCTTAACCTAAATGTAATGTAATTCAAATTATTACTGCCTTTTTTAAAGGGTAGATTATAAACTATTGCATAATATCTTATGAATATTATATGTACTTGATAATAATATTTTCTTAACACGTAGATAGTCGTGAATATAGGTGTAAATAAACAAATAGCATGCTCAGCGTTTCCTACATGTTGGCAAGATATTATGGTTTCCAAGAGTGATTAAGTATTTGTATTAAAGAAAACACTTTCTGATCCATAGGCTAGACAATAATGTCTATTCTCCAAAGCCATAGATTGAACTTTTTTAAAAAAAATTCTCACCACCTTTGTACTAATTTGACCTGCAGTAGTCCATTGTGAGCCTGTCTTTGAGAGATGTGTACTGGTACAGGTCTTAACATTACCACCCCTGTGTGGGGTACTGGTTACACAAATTGGCTATATTTGCATGCAAAGCTGAAACATGGTTTAGTGCTGTGTAGACAAGCCTAAGCAAAGAGTCCCAGTTATTCCCCTCCAAACTTCTCACATGGACCGGAGAAACAGTTAAATTTCATTTTTCGTGAATCTTGCCTTATAATTTATGTTTGAAGTAGGGGTTCTGCCCTAAAACAAATTTCAGTTAGTTTAACAATTCAGTTTCATAACACACAACATAAAATTAACCAGTTTGCTTTAAACCATTACCCCTGGTTTAAACATAATAGTAAGTCCTTATTTTTCTTTAAAGTGAAACTAAATTCTGTCAAAGGCCTCAGCCACAGGAGTACATGTGAAAGCTAAATGTTTTGGTCCACTTTGTTAAAGCTCAGCTGTGCAGTCTACTTCACTTCTAGTGTTTTGTGCAAATGAGGGGCAAATGGAAAGGCCTGGTCAGTTGTCCACCCTTGTAGAAGAAATTCAGTTTATGTGAAATCTAAAACAGTTGTATGGGTTGCCTCCTCATAATTTATTATACCTCTGTTATGATACTGTAATTGTAGGTATATATTGTTTGCTGCCTGAGGCGCCTGTGGGTGGGATAAAAATAAATAGGGATCTCAGCCTGCAGGGAAAAAATCACATATGCTTCAGTGAAAATGCCATTAACTCAGAGTTTTGTGAATTTTCCCTATTTAAGATCTCAAATGACAAACACATTAATTGTACGCATTCCTTATTGTTGTCACACTTGTAGCTAGGAGCGACTACATTTGTGGTTTTGAATAGAGGTCTTACAAAATTGTTACCAAATCATCTTTTAGGGGGAAGTTGAACAAATAGCGATGATGAAACCAAAAGGGCAGAATGTACATGATGAAGGCATGCTTGAATATTTAGAAGACATAATAGGATCAGAACGATTAAAAGAGCCCATTCAAATATTATGTCGAAAAGTTGAAATATTAAATGAACAGAGGGGTGAGAAGGTAAGACTTTGGATTACTAATTGTTGTTTTTAAAGTATAGAATAAAATAAGTATTGTGTGGAGTGCTGCTTTTCAGGATTCCAGCCATTTCATTTTATGCCCCTCTTCAGCTCTTACTCACCAGCATTCAGTATTCTGTGGCCACTGAATGTGCTCAGTCCTCATTAGGCTGTGTTTCTTCATGGGAAGAGGGAGAGACACAATTCAAGCTACATTAAAATTCTGGATTGCCCATTGATTCCTATAGCCTAGCCAGTCTTCCATCCTTGGGGTCATTTAAAAATACAGCTTTTCCTACAGTGGAGGAAAGTGTTCTTGCATGAGTGAGAACCAATTCTAGTCCTGACTGTGTCCTAGAGTCTGTGTTGGCAGAGCACTGTCAGTTTTTTCTTGGGGCTTACCTATCTATTCCCTGTTTTCCCCCCCTCCCCTTTGGGGTATTGAGTCAGAAAAGGCCGCACAAATGACTTCTCAATGTGAACCCAAGAAGTGGCCAGTTGAGACAATGACATGGTTCTTTCTACATATTTTTTTTATATATCTAGGTGTGTCTTCCCAGATACTCCACTTCAGTCCTCCTTACCTCTAGTTTTCCGTTTGTGCATTTTAAAGTTGGATTTCTAGGGCCACTGAGCATGTTCGATTGTCATGGAGCTTTTGGGAGAGTTGGGTGTTTACTCTAAATATATTGTGTACTTTTGCAAACCTTGTTAAGGTTCCTCTCAAATCTCCTAACACCCACCCTCTTGTATGTGGTTGGTACTGCTTCCACTGTGTAAGCAATAATGCTTTCTCTGAGGATTTGAATTAATATATATAGGATAGTATTTAGCATTATCTTTTTGATAAGCCTTTGCAAGTTTCAGGATTACATTTTGCATATACTGTGGGAGGGAGGGAACTGATATTTCCTGGACCAGAGTGAGCTGGGTGATTGCAGTAGAAAAACACAATTCCTGTCATTCTACTGGTTTGTGCCCATAGTGTGTAATGTGCTGTAAAGCTCTCTTCTTTCCTGTTTCATATAAAGTGTTTTATGGTGTGCATATCCGAGCATTGAACCAACCATTATTTATGAAATATTCTGTCTAGTTGAACAGAGTTAAAATGGTGGAAAAAGAGAAAGATGCCTTGGAAGGAGAACGGAACAAAGCACTTGAATTTCTTTCTTTGGAAAACAAAATGTTCAGAGAAAAGAATAAGATTTGTCAGTACTACATGTAAGTAGCATCATTTGATATGATTTAATGTGTGTTCTTTACACCCTCTAATTAGATCAGAGGGAAGTTGAAGATTTGGGCTAGTTGTGCTGCTGTTTCTCCACAGCAGGGGTAGTCAACCTTTTTATACCTACTGCCCACTAATGCATCTTTCTTGATGGTAACATTTCCTTACCGCCCACCAGTGCTCAATGGAAGGAGGATTCAGCTTGTGCCGTAGAACCCCCTACCGCCCACCTAGAATCCTGAAACGCCCACTAGTGGGCGGTAGGGACCAGGTTGACAACCCCTGCTCTACATCATAGTAAATACAATGTGTTGGCTCTAAAGGTAGTTGCATTTAGTCCCCACTGAAATAAGTGGAAAAGTGGAACATAACTGTACCTAACTTAGTCTTGATTTAACACATTGCTTTTAGATTCAAGTGGTATGCTGCTACTTCTCTTAAATACATTTTACTTGAGGGGAATAGTATGGCATAGACATCCCAAAGTGATTTATTTACTTTGACTAACTTCAGTTGCTCTAAATTTTGGGGAAATAAATCCTCCTCCTTAATATTGCTAATTTTTTGGTTGATAAATGCAAATGGGTGATGCGGTGCTTGCATAGCAAACTTTGCTGTCATGAGTCCTGTGAATGTCCTGGAGTGTGGTCAGTTCTAGTTAGAACTAGAGGACCCTGGGGAGGGTCCTAGCAGAATCAATGTTGGATCTCTCCCAACTATTTTAGTATCTTTTTATTATGATGGGAACAATTGTCTGCATTATCAGACGCGTGAAACCTTTCTTTTCCTTTTTTTAAAGTTATGAGTTGCAGAAGCAGATAACTGGACTGGAGACCCAGAAAGAAGAAATACATGAAGATACTAAAGAAGTTAATGAGAAAAGCAGTAAACTGTCAGATGAAAAGAAAGATAAGAATAAAGCTCTGAAAGAAATTGAGAAGTAAACATTATTAATTCTATTACTTTGCAGGCGTTAACAATATTTGAAAGATGAGTCATTTTGCTGTTAAAGCAGTGGTGCATTTTGTGCAATGAGCATGACACTTTGCTTCCTTTGTTGTTGTCATCCATCTGTCTCGGGAGACAGTGGAGTGTACCTCCAGGAGTGAAGTCAGACCACTGAGGTGACCTCCCCAAGGCACAAGCCTGGGAAGTGTGTATGGAGGTCATGGGCTGCCAAGACTACAAGACCCCCCTCGGCAATATGTTGGCACCAGCTTGGCTGCAGCAGTTGCCAGAAGGAGACGTACAAGGCACCATCCAACTGTCTTAGGGAGTCCACTCTGGATTTGTGTATAGTTTACTCCTTAGCCTTTTCTTCCCCCAAAGTATATCCCACAAGGCAGCAGAGGTTTACGATTAGTTTTCTCTCTTCTTGGTGAGTTACCTTCCCAGGTTCACAAGCCCCATCTGCCCTTCATTTCCCTCTACACCACGTGCAGAAACTGCCCTTTTGACCACTGGACCCAATATTGGTCTTGTCTGCCCAATCTGCCAGAGTCTGTGTTTGAATGCAGGGAATGTCCCTAACTCACTAAGGATTTGAGATCCATCAGCTACCCTCGCCTGGTTTAGCCAGCCAGTAAAACTGCTACCTGGGGTGGGGCTGCTGTTGTATTCTGACAGCTTCTAGGAGCCAAATGTGAATGCTGAGTGCAAGGTAGGTACCTAAGGTGGACAAGCTACTCCAGAAGGAGCCCAGTGTGTCCACCAGAGATACTACCCCTCCCCTAACACCCCATACAGTGGTACCTCAGGTTACATGCACTTCAGGTTACAGACGCTTCAGGTTACAGACTCCGCTAACCCAGAAATAGTACCTCGGGTTAAGAACTTTGCTTCAGGATGAGAACAGAAATTGTGCTCCGGTGGTGCAGCAGCAGCAGGAGGCCCCATTAGCTAAAGTGGTGCTTCAGGTTAAGAACAGTTTCAGGTTAAGAACGGACCTCCGGAACGAATTAAGTACTTAACCCGAGGTACCACTCTGTGTGTGTGTGTGTGTGTGTGCGCGCGCGCGCGTGCACACTTTGTAAAAGTTTTTTTTTTAAAAAACTAGCTTAGTTTGGTCATACCGTCTTTAACTGATTGAAAAGGTAATTGGTATGTTTCCCCTTTTTCTAGAAAACTCAATAAAATCACAGCATTCATAGAAGAAAATAAAAATACATTTAAGCAGCTCGATTTGGAGGATGTTCAAGTAAGGGAAAAACTAAAACATGCAAAAAGCAAGTCAAAAAAACTAGAGAAGCAGCTTCAGAAGGATAAAGAAAAGGTACGCCTGTAAACTTCATTCTGATATGTTTAGGCAAAATACTATTGAAAATTGACTTCAAAAGGTCAGTGTTTGCTTCATTATGCTATCTATCTGAAAGCGTTTTCTCAAAATCTGGAGCCCAAGCCTAAAATATTTTATACTCTGAAGTAAGACTTTTATATTTAAGTGGGATGCCTCCTAGTAGAAGAGGCCCAGTGGAGTGCAGCAGCAGCAACCTTTCTGCAGTGGAATTACTGCTGCTTACTGGGAGGGGTGCAGCAGGGAGATTGGGGGTGCACAAAGCACACTGGTGGGAGTGCTGGATTGACTCCACCAGTTCATTCACACAGCTCCAACAGCAACTGCACTGCCAAGTGAGGTAGCACAGTGCCAAGTGAGGTAGTGCAGCAGCCACTTTCCCTCGTGTCCTCCAGCCCCAGAGCATGAACTCTATATTTTGGTCTGGATTGGAGAGAGAATTGGGATAGGGGGAGCTGGAGAGCAGTGGAAAATAGGCATTGAGAGAGTGTTCCCCACTTTACACAATTTCACTTATGGACACAGGGCCCTGGAATGTAACCCTTGTGTAAGTGGAGGGATTCCTGTATAATCTCTTGTGCAATAAAATCATTTTTAACTTTATTTATTGAAAAGTTTATATCTGCTTGGCTTGGATATAACACCCAAAACAGATTAAACACGAAACCCTTTTAACAACCATTATCGTAGAACAAAAAGTTGAAAGACAGGTGCACATTACCAATCCAAAAATGACAAACCTTGTCATCTAGCCAACTATAATGTCTGCCTAACCAATAAGGTCTTAAGGCAAAAACAAAAAAAACCCCAACACACTAAAGGTGGGGGGGGGGAGGAAGAACAGCCAGGTGGATCTCCTAGGATGAGGAATTCCACAATCTGGGTTGCCTCTGTAAGGAAGCCACTTTCCCAACATTCTTTGACTCATGGCAGGGTGATACTGGCCAGTTATTCCAGAATGATTGTGCTTACCCAAGGCAGTTTTCTTCATATGGGGTCAGTGTGCCCCCACATTTTTGAACAACAGCTTACGATGATTGCTGCCTCTCTAGCCTGTACTTTTCTACTTAGACAGGCATATTTAGCAATAGACATGGGCTACCACATAAGTGCAGGTGCTTTGCAAAAGGTTATACAATTCTGGCAGCTCTCTTGTTGGTATCTGACTAATGTGTTCTGCCAGCACAAGGATTTTTGCATGTGTAACGGAACTTTCCTTCCCTGCCCCCTTAAATCTGTTCCAGGGGTTCCACCAAGCCTCCAGAGCAGATTTGGGGGATGGTGAAGGGTGTGTGCAGGAAGGGGGGTGGAGATCCTTCACACAAGCATAAATTATTGTGCAGATGGAATGTGTTAGTTGGATAACTCCCAAAGTAGCTAAAATTGGTCTCTAGTGAACCAGTTATTGGTAAGTGATCTTTTCCTGAGTAAGAAAGGAAATGAATTCGTCATGAGCAAATGTGTCAAGGAAAAAATTGCAAAAGAGGCTTTAGTGTGTATCTTATTGCCTGAATATTCCTGAAAAATAATAGGATACTTTTCATGTTACACCTTCATGTTGTTATTGTCAATCTAAATTTATAAAGTGTAACAAATATATTTAACTGGTGCTACTACAAGGTGCTATGTAATACCTATTCTGCATTTGTAAAAACCCAATTGTTTAGTGTGACAGCACCTATACTTTGAAACTCGCTGCCTATAGATATCAAGTAGACACCTTCACTGTATTTTTGGTGCCTGATAATAACATAATTGTTTAGACAAGCCTACCCAGATACTTAGAAATGCTGATACGAATTTTAATCTGTTATACTATTTTAACTCCTGTAGCTCTTATCTGTTTTAATATGTTGTGATTTCCCCCCCTGATTTTATAGTTTTATCTTTTTGTAAACAGCTTTGAGTTTTTATGATCAAGCAGTGTATAAATTTTATGAAATAAATAAATATTAAATAATTCTTCTAAGCCCCCTGTGCTATGAACAATTGTGCTTAATAGATCTGCCAGTGAAGTGCAGTTTGTTTGGTGAAACTGGTTTCCCTGTTGGAGAGACTGTTCCCCTAGTTGAAAAAAATAACATTACCTTTTTCATAGGTTGAAGACTTGAGAAGTGTTCCTGCCCGTAGTGAATCTGCTATTGGTGAAGCAACAGCTAAGAGAGAGGTTCTAGAAAAAGAAAAGAAAAGGGTAGAGGAAAAACTAAAAGAAGTTATGGACAGTCTTAAGCAGGAAACTCAAGGATTGCAGAATGAAAAAGAGGTTTGTACACTTGATGCATTCAGCTATCTCCCCTGGAGTCTAGAAGCAAATCAGCATAATTAACCGAGTAATAGGCTCTCTTTATCTCTTCTCGGTCAGAACAGAAGTTAAAGTATATTGCAGAATAAACTAAGCAGCCAGCCGAGTAGCAATTACTTCCCTGCAAGCAGCTGACACCTGCTTACACTTGTGGCATTGCCATTGCACTGTACTAAACATCCTGGAAATACATATGAGCATTATTACTCTCTTATAGCATTTCCCCTTTTGAAGGCCAGTGTTTCTTACTAAGGACATTCATTGGCTGCACTATGCTAAGTGGATTCAACACTGCTTTTATCTCTTGCTTAACTAATACGGAGCTATGAACCATGCATGCATGCATGCATGCATATGAGGTTGATTTTCGCTTTCCTGTATTAACACCAGAATACAGAGGAAAATGGCAGTTGACATAATCTGGCTGGCTCTCTGGTTGGCTTTTCAGATAACCAGATCTGCTTGTGTGTCTTTGTGCATAATGCTATTTTTATTCTCCAGTAAGGGAAATGTAGTGCTTGTTAGCAAAAGGAGGAACAGTATTGATTATGGGTGAGCAAAGCAAGGGCTGCATGACAATTTATTTGAATGGCTGGATTAAATCCCTTGCTACGTATCTATAAACTGAAACTATCTGAGTTAATCTGTGTCGTTTATGCAGTGTATTTTATATTTTGCATTTTTGTCAGAGTGGTTTACAGTTTAAAATAATGCCTTCCAATCTAGACCAGGTGCAAAAGGGATGAAACAATGAGGTGTGAGTGAAAAAGAAAGCAAATTCTGATATAGACTTTCAGACTGTTATCCAAAATGCTCATTGGAGGAGATGGTTTTGGGATGAAAGGAGCCAAACAGTCCCAGCTAAACCAAGCTTACCGTATTTTTCGCTCCATAGGGCGCACTGGACCATGGGGCGCACCTAGTTTTTAGGGGAGGGAATAAAGAAAAAAAAGTTTATTTCCCCCCCCCCCAAGCCCCAAAGAGCAAAGAAGACAATCAGCATTTCACTGAAGCTGATTTGGGGGGGGGGGGGTCGCTGGCTTATCTCTACTTTTCAGGAGTGGCATTGCAGCTGAGAAAAACTATTCTGGGAGAATTGCCAGGATCTGTGCATTACCACTTGAATTGTGAGCAAAGGTTTTGGTTTTTTTAATATGACCTTTACAAATTTCATTTTCATAGGACAAAGAAAAAGAACTCATGGAATTCAGCAAAACGGTTAATGAAGCACGTTCAAATTTGGAGGTGGCACAGTCAGAACTTGATCTCTACCTTAGTCACCATAATACTGCAGTATCTCAGTTTAAAGCAGCAGAAGAAGCTCTTCAGACTGCTTCAGGAACACTTAAAGAAAGGTTAGCCACTATCAAAGAACTGGAATCAAAACTGCCTCAAGCTGAGCATGATCTAAAGAAGGTTAGACGTTACTGAAGATTTGTTTATATTCCTGAAATGCTTAACTTCTAATTGCAATTTAAGTGTTACTACTTTTCCCAGAAATGTTTGGTGTTAAGACTGTCAGAACTATTACTATCAATAGTATTAAAACCTGTAAAGACACCCCGCATAGTTCCTCTACAATTACTTTCTTAGATGGCGCCTCCACCCCCATCCCCCCTTCTGCTGTTGCTCCTCTAGGAAGGAAACAAGCCAGAGGGTAGTTTTGCATTCTGTGCAAACCAGCACACATGGTTTGTTAGGGGAAAACAAACTTCAAGTACTGTTTCACACGTAACATGAAGCCAGCTTCTGGCTTATTCCCCCACCCCAATGCAGTAACAACACAAGTGAAGGAATTGGGGACTGTTGAGCAGCATGCATCAATACACTGCTCGTTAACATTAAACTAGTTTGATAGAGTGGAGTCAAGGACACTCATTGAATAGGATAACTTCTCCCACTAGGCTGGATAGGCAGTTCATAGGTTCCATCTTGAGGGCCTGCACCCAAGTTATAATTCACTCACATTCTCTATTTAATTCTGTCCCTTAAGATATGGCCCCAGTTAAATGCCTTTTACATGGACATTAATCCTAGAGTCTGAGTAGGGTTTAGATGGTCATCTCTCAGTGCAATTTCTACAGTGGGTGTTAATACGTTGGGATGTCACCAGTTTTTTCTTCAAATAAAATATTTTTTGTAAATAATCTCTGAGGACCTGAAAGGTCCTATTCAGTTTCTTCATCTAACTACAAAATCCTTGTATGCTGTTGACACATCCTTTGTATCCACTTCCCAAGGTGGTATGTGATGCAAACAGGAAGATACGGAGGTGGAAAAGAGTTGCTATTGAACTGTTAAAATATTCATACAGGCCAAAAACGTGGAAACAGATACTGAGTGTGAAAAAGTTTTATTTAATGATATATTTCATGATCTAGCTGAATAAGGGAACTTCTGCACCAGGACATCTAGAAGTGATAATTATGGTGTCATCTCCTAGACATTAAAAGTTCAAATGCTCCTGTTAACCCAGAAAGTCTGGGAACCCCAGCTTAGTTCCTCTATAGTGGAGTTTGTTACTAGAAGAATACTATTTCTTTAGAAAATCTCAATTCTGTAATGAACTACTTCTGGAATTTTCAAAAACAAAATAATTTAATGCCTTTTTCGTTTAAGAAAGAGAATGATCTTAATAAACTTGTAAAAGATGAAGCAAACATCAAGAATTATGTTCAAGATCTGCGTCAGAAAGTAGAAGAAGCAAGAAGCTCATTGGCAATAAATAAAAGTCGAGGAAGAGTTCTTGAAGTTTTACTTCAACAGATGAAGTCTGGGAAAATCCCTGGAATTTATGGAAGACTAGTAAGTTCTTGTTTTTCTGGCCATTTCTGTATTGTTCTTTTTCCCATTGCCAGTGAAAGGTTGTCAGATTGGGTAATGTCTCCACTTTGTGGTTGAAGGTAGGAATAGAACTAGAGGGAAGTAGGCAGCTCCCATAATTTAGTTTGCATTCTGCCTTGCTTGAAGTAGTCACATCATTCTCAAGCTCCCATTCTTCTCAGGCCAGCTTTAGTTGTGCGTTTTATTGTATTTCTACGTAGCAATTATATCTTCTATCCCTTTTTAGTTGGCCTCATCTACAATTTCATATCTGTCGCTGAAACATTTCCTTCATAGAGCTATGCTGAAATGCAGAGCTGTACAGTGGTACCTTGGTTCTCAAACGCTGAAAACCTGGAAGTGTTCCGGTTTTCAAACGTTTTTTGGAAGCTGAACATCAGATGTGGCTGTTGGCTATTGTTTCCGGGGCACCTGAAGCAATCAGAAGCTGTGCCTTGGTTTTCGAACATTTCAGAAGTCAAATGGACTTCCGGAATGGGTTAAGTTTGGTGCTTTTGTTTTTGCTATTTATTTTGTGTTTTTGTTTTTGAGGCTTTTTCGGTTGATTTGTTTTTGTGACTGTGTGGAACCCAGTTCAGCTATTGATTGATTGGTTGATTGATTGTGTGACTGTGGAAATGGATAAAAGCCCCCCATCCGAACAATGACTATCATCAGCGCAGGTAAGGAAAAGAAGTAATTTTAATTTTTATCGTCTACAACACTGTCTTATTTATTTTATAGTACAGTACATTGATTATTGCTTTCATTTTATGGCTCAGTGGTCTCGTTGGATAGTAAAATTCATGTTAAATTGCTGTTTTAGAGATTGTTTTTAAAAGTCTGGAACAGATGAATTCGTTTTGCATTGCTTTCTATGGTAAAGCGCGCCTTGGTTTTGGAACGGACTTCCGGAATGGATTAAGTTTGAAAACCAAGGTACCACTGTACAGGGTTTTCTCAGCTCTCTAGAGACCGCCTTTGAATCATTTATGACAGTGCCCCTAAGAGTGTTTAAAATCCAAGTAGCTATCACCTCTTCCTGCAGGGTATCTGAGCTGAATGCTTTCTCCAGTCTCCACTGTACAACATTTGTGTGTTTTTCATAAGGATAGGGTAGTGTTGAGGGCAGACCCAGCTTTCATGCCCAGTCCTATGAAGGTTCCATAGACAACAATAATTAGTTGTCACAACCAGCTGTCCAGATCCTTGCCAACCTTTGGAGCAGGCCTAGCACTCTTTAGCTGCCTGAAGGGCCATGAAGGTTTACATAAATAGGAAGTTTTCTGGCAGTTTGTCATTCCACTCAGCTTCTCTTAGATCTATAGAAGTAGGTGTTTTCTCTTCAATCACCTTATATATTAATAATGTATGGCCTGTTTGAGCTTGGTGAATACGCAGACTTAATTTATGGGAGGTACCTGCTTCCCCCAAGATCTGTTTCTGCTTTGGGCTACAAGGTTTACCCAACCTGATCTTGCACTGGCAATGTAAAGCTAACCTTCAGATAGATACACCGTGGTACTTCTTCTCTTTATCTGAGTAGGCTAACTTGGTTAGTGAGAATATTTAGCAGGGGAAGTTGTCGTACTTGGTAAACCCAAGACGCTGAGGCAGCTTTTGAGAGGAGTGCATGCACAATCATCTCTCCAAGACAAAAGTTGATTTCCAAATTAAAGGTTACTCAGCCTCTCTGAGTCTTCAAGGAAACATGCAAAATTACTGGGCAGCAGCATTGTCCAGCATCTCTGGATGTAACCAAGCTACCTTTTTTTTGCATTCACCTACATTACAGTATTGGCCCAAATATAAGCCACACCTGCAAATAAGCTGCACCTTTAAAATGTTAGAGGGGTTTTTTCCTCTGGTGGCAGATGACAGAAACTATGACACCACCAGACTGGTGTAAAACCAAACAAATAAAGGTTTTATTACAAAACAACAAAGCTTGTGAGTGCTTTTCCTTGCAGGCAAAGTTCAAACTGCAACTTTCCCTCCTTTTGTAGTCATGACCAGCTGTACCCAATCTGCCCAAAGCTCACAGAAACAGTTCTTAAAGGTACAACCATCTTTACTGTTTCTTTGCAGAATGACTCCCAACATAAAATTAATGGGGGGAGGGGGAGAGAAAAAGACAATACCTGACTACGGGTACCATTCCCTCACACTCCTGGGCTGCTTCCTGGGGGGCAGCTGCGCCACTTTGCCAGCGGCCTTCCCCCCAACAGCTCGGGGGAGGCTTGGGAGCGGCGGGAGGGCTGAGCGCTGTTGCCCCATGCTCCCGGTCTGCGTTGCTCTCTGGGTGGGGTGGGGGGAGCTGTGCCGCTTTGCCAGTGGCATAAGGTCGCAAATATAAGCTGCACATTTTTTCTCCAAATTCCAATCGTGAAAAGTTTAAAGTGTGGCTTATATTCGGGCCAATACAGTAATATTTCATTGTCTCTTCTCCAGTCTGGAAGCTGATTGCCAAAGTGCCCTGTGAACCTATTATGCATTCTGCCCAAGTGTAGCTACTTTAAGAATAGATTAGCCAGAACAGTATGCAAATTTGAGCAACTGCCTTTTGAGATACTACCCCATCGCATTTGTTCTGAGCCATCATTTCTTAGTTAACATCTTTTCCCCCATAGCTTTCAGGAGAGAGTTCTGCTTAAATTCTACCCTAAATCATGGGAGCAGTGTGAAAGGACATTAAAACGACAACGTGAGAAGTTCTTTTATGTTAAGGGATGAGATCCATTAAAACCAATGGGACTTACATGCAATTATGCTTAGGACTGGATGTCTGGTACTTCTATTACTAACCTAAGTGCTTTCTTTTCTTGCTACTAGGGTGACTTGGGAGCCATAGATGAGAAGTATGATGTTGCAATTTCATCATCATGTGGAGCGTTAGATCACATTGTAGTCGACACCATGGATACCGCTCAAGAATGTGTTAAATTTTTGAAGAAGGAAAACATTGGAGTGGCAACATTTATAGGGCTTGACAAGGTTTGTAATAACTTTTTTTTAACAGATAACTTTTTAAGTTGAATAAGTCGAAGTTGCATATAGATTTGTTTTTATATTACTATGCTCAGCTGGTTTTTACAGTGTCATTTTTTAGATTTTAAAATGGCTTATAATAGTAAAACTGTTTTATATATGATGGGTACAAATACAGTAAGGTATATTTGTATAAATAGTATCTTATTACAGCCTGTTAAAATAGTCTTATTAGTGACAGCTCATGTTTGTAATAAACATCACAAAGTCTCAGTTTTTAATATAAGAGTAAATACATACTAGGAGTTACATATCTGCATAACATAGATTTACATAAGGGAAAAATGGTGCTTCAGGTTCAAACACGTATTAGAGAGTAAACCCTATGGAGTTCCGGGAGCTTTATTTGAATAAGCCTGTATATGATTGCACTGTTGTAATAAAGTATTTGAAAACAATTAAAATATGAACAAAGATCTATGAAAGTAAACTAAAGAGGTATATCAAGGACCTGTGCAGTTCTTGATGGTTAGTTTACTGGTTTTGTGGTGGTTTTAATCCTTCCAGATGACAGTATGGGAGAAAAGCATGGGAAAAATCCAGACTCCTGAAAATATTCCTCGCTTGTTTGATATGGTAAAAGTTAAAGATGAGAAGGTTCGCAATGCTTTTTATTTTGCATTACGTGACACTTTGGTAGCTAATAACCTGGACCAGGCTACAAGGGTTGCGTTCCAGAAAAACAAGAGATGGAGAGTTGTAACTTTACAAGGACAAATCATAGAACAATCAGGTATTTAAATTTTTTTTAAAGTTGTGGTTAAAGTTTTATTTGAATGGGAAATAAAGAATTACTAATTTGTTCTTGGTCCTTCCATAGGTACAATGACTGGTGGTGGAGGAAAAGTAATGAAGGGTAGAATGGGATCCTCTGTTGTAGTTGAAACAACAGAAGATGAGGTTAGTATGCTTTCTCTTAACACCTTCTGCATTCCTAATGAGGAGTGGGGAGAATCTTTTACTGGTTACCTTTCAAGTGAAATCAGTGGGACAGAAAATACCTATCTAGTGCCAGGGTGGCCGTGGACAGGGGCACAATCTGTGGATATGATGGGGAATGAAGGAACTTTTCAATCTGGCAGATCGAACGTTGCTCATGGAATGCCCTATTTTGGCCCCTGTGACCTCTGGGACTGGTGTGCTTGCTTGGTAGCAGAGATGCTATAGTAACACCCCCAGCCAACCTTTCGCAGGGGCTATGTTGGTTCTGAAAGCTCTTTCTTTTCTTATATTAAGTCTAGACATAAAAACACTGAAATATATTTTGATGAACTGGGGGCTTTTTTTGGTCTGGTATTGAGAACAGTTGGCTCTCCAGATGTTGAAACACAACCCTCTCATCATCCACGTCCATTCACTAGCTGAGGCTGTTGACAGCTGAAGTCCAATAACATCTGGAGGGGCACAGGTTCCCCATCCCTGGTTTATTTGCATGTTATATACATTACTTTTTTTACATTTTATAACTTGCCCCTAGGTAAATAAAATGGAATCTCAGCTGCAAAAGGATCTCCAAAAAGCAACACAATTTCAGGAACAAAAAGTGCAACTTGAAGAAGCAATATCAAAATTGCACCAGAGCATTAGAGAAATGAGGAACACGTTAGGAAAGTACAGTGCAAACATTCAGGTAATGTAACATGACACCAGTTATGTCTTCTGATGGAGATTATCCTTTAAATATACTATCTTATATGAAGGTATTTTAAAACTTGTTCAAAGCACAGGCAATAGGAAAGTGGGCTGTTTCGCTTTGGCTGTTGATACTTGTTCCTGCATTGTATGGAAGAATGTTAAGAGCAGTTATTTTGAAAAGAGTGTTTGAGCCAGAGAATGTTAAACCCACCCCCCCACAGATTTTAGAAAAGGCAGGCCAGACAAACTAGTTTAAGATAGGGAAGGGTAATTGTCTCCAAAAAGAAAAGGCAAGTTGTACACCCTATTAAAATGTTCTTAAAAACTTATAATGCACCTAATGTTTTCTGGTTAGCCTGTGGGCAGCAATTATCTTGGGGGTCTTTCGCCTATATTCTGAGCCAGCACAGGCTCTCATCTAAGAGTTATTTGTTAAGGTCTGTCTCCCAAGTCCAAGGTTAGGATCTTTCTTGGAGTTAGCCCTTCAGCTTAAAAACCCTCCTGAAATAATTATGTTAGTTGGTGTGGGCTGTTTTAGCTATTTTTATGTATGCAAAAGTTTTATATATGTTTTTATTGTGTTGTAAATCACTGCTAGATGCCTCATAGGAATAGTGTCACAAATGAAATTAATAGTAATTAATAATTGTGTTCTTTAGAGTTTGTCAGAGCAAGAGGCTCACTTAAAAATCCAGATTAAAGAACTTGAAAGAAATGTAATTGCTGCAGCGCCAGACAAAATCAAGCAGAAAGAAATGGAGAGAAAATGTCATTGTTTCAAAGAAGGTATGTCAATATTGCAGTAAATTATAATTGAGGGTGAATCATAATTGATGTGTTTTAGGGGTCACCCACTTTTTTGTCCCATGGGCACATTTGGGGGTGGGACCTGTACACACAGATCCAGCTTTTAGTCTGCTCACTATATAAAACTTCACTTTTCTGAACCTACCTCTCTGTGCCCCTCACTCCTATCTCCTAGAAATCAAATAAAAGAGTCAATAATTTGGAGTCTATTGTATTCTATTCAGTAAAGCTATCCTTTCCAGTTAGTCAACAAGCCTGATGCTAGTAGTTATAGATAATTTTCCTTGTAAGAAAACTATTCAATCTACAAAGCAAATAATTTATCAAATGCTGTTTAGGAAATTACAATTGAAGTAATGCACACACTGTATTATAGCTAAGTAAATGGGGATATACATTTATTTTGCACAATAATAAATCTTGTAAACATATAAACATTTGAACACGTAGTTTGCTCATACCATACTGTTTATATATTTAGCACTACTAGAAGTATTCATCAAGTTCTTTTTTTGTGTCTTTTTTTGTCTTACAGATTATGACAAAGTTGCTGCAAAGGCTGGTAAATTGGAAACAGAAATAAAGAGATTGCATAATCTCATAATTGACATAAATAATAATAAGCTTAAAGGTCATCAAGACAATCTTGATAAGATAAACAAGGAAATAGATCAATGTTCTTCTGCTATTACTAAAGCTCAGGTGGCAATCAAGACAGCAGATAGGTATGGAAATGATTTTATATCCTTTGGAACCAACATAAAAAAATAAACAGGAAACTCATTTCATTACAGTGTTTAAAGAAAACAAGCAGCAAAATTATCAAGTAATGGATTTGCAACATAGTAGCTGGTTCTTTAAAATAAAGGCTCCTATTCTTAAAATGTTAGTTTGTGTGCTAATAGATTCTGTGCTTGTGTTGTGTGTTATCATACACAGTGGTACCTCAGGTTACAGACGCTTCAGTTTACAGACTACGCTAACCCAGAAATAGTACCTCGCGTTAAGAACTTTGCTTCAGGATGAGAACAGAAATTGTTCTCTGGCGGCAGCGGGAGGCCCCAATAGCTAAAGTGGTACCTCATGTTAAGAACAGTTTCAGGTTAAGAACGGACCTCCAGAATGAATTAAGTTCTTAACCTGAGGTCCCATTATATTTAGCCACTGAAATAGTGTGTCAGGAAATCCATGGACAATGGGGTAGGAAAAAGGTGTCACAGGAAATGATAAAAAAGTGGGAAAACGTAGGTGAGTAGTCTCCAGAAATTGCATATAGTCAGAACAACTTTGGAACCAGCCCCACCTGACCATCCCTACCTTTCTGAAGCAAGCGCACTAAACAGGCCTTGCACCCCACGCAAGGCAGCGAGCTTTTAAGCTCTCTGCCTTGCTTTGCGAAGCTCCTTCCCAGAGCCTGATAAGCAAGTCTGAGAGCTGTAAAGCTCTGCCATGAGAACCCTATGCAGAGAGCTTTTAAGTTCTCCGCCTTCCATGTGTTCAGTTTGTGCAATTTCAGCTGACCAGCTGCCAAGCACGTAACGCTGCAATTGCACAAGTTAAATGCACAAAAGTTGCAAGTTAGTTATATTTCCAGTCCTTTCGCTCTATAGAAATTTAAAATCTGTGGTGTGTGTTTTTTATAATGAAAACAGATTTTCGAAATGGAAATGTTACATCCCTTTGAATAATTAAAGATGGCCATCATATCACAGTCTTCTAATGTCAATATTTTTTGTTTTATATTCCATTTTTAAATTTGATTTCTACTCAAGGTTTTAATGTCAGTAGAGTAGAGGCTTCTTACCTACTTTATTATTGTATTGTATTTGATAGAAACCTGAATAAATCAGAAGATGCTGTTCTCCACACTGAGAAGGAGATTGAAGAAAATAAAAAAGCCCTCCAAGACTTAACAGAACAGCTGAATACACTTGAAGAAAAAGCTGCTAAAGTTATGAATGACAGCAAAGAAGCTGAAGTATGTATGATACTAACTTGATTTCTTTAAATAGGGTGTGTTTTAAAAGATGCAGAACAGTGTATTAACACTAAAAATGCATATGATGTACAAGTAGAGTTTTAATGCATGTGGTAATAAAATCCACTACAAGTCTTCAACACCAGCAAAAATTGTATTCAAGAGCAAATATGATTCAATTGCTCAATTTATTTATATCATTTTAAAGGCACGCTCATGTTGCATAAAAATGAGGTGCTGTTCTCTCCAGAGAATTTACTATTAACACTTAAAATCATTACTCTTCCTGCAATAATTCTATATGCATCACTTCGGAGTAGAAAAATGTGTGTTTGTAAGGGGTGTGTACAAAAAAGCTGACTTTTCCCTCTTTCTCCAGGCATTAGTGTACTACCAGTTATTTGCAGCTCAGAGGTGGTGAGAAAAGCTGGTGTCCCACATGTTACTGAGTTGATGCTACTCAACACAAGGCTGCACAGAGAGGCCCCTTCCCTCCCTGCCCCTTTGTTAATACCTGCTGCCACTACGCTAAAACATTCCCTGCAGCATTTGACCTTCCAAACAGTTATGTTGCACAATTATTTTGATGATGGGTATTACCTGTGTTTTTTCACATTTTAAAGAGACATTAGCATCTAGAACAAATTGGAGCTCTAGAAATGTAAACCTTTGCGGTAACTGAATAATAAAAAATAAACTTCCACCTATGATCTTTACTTAGGAGTCTTTGCCAGAGATTCAAGCGGAACACCATTCTGTGCTTCAGAAAATTAAAGCTATCCAAGATGAAGAGCATTTGCTTCAAAAAGAGGCTCTTAATATTAGGCTTAAAATTGAACAGCTAGACAGTCATATTGCAGAGCATCAATCAAAGATTAAATATTGGCAAAAAGAGGTAAACACTTTATAATACCTTACTATTTTAAGAAAAACTATAATATTATGTTTTTTTACTGCTTTCCCCAATCCTGTCATATAGCAGGATTGGGTTCATTATTTTATGTTTTTTAATATTGCATGTTATCTATCATACAGAAAACTACCAAGATCCTGAAAAAACTATAAAAGTCACAGACTATGCCTCATTGGAGAGTATACTATTTTCATATCCCACCCAGTCTCTTTCTTATCTAGAGCCACTTTGCTGTCCACAAAGCCTGGCTTACTTTTTTAAAGAAACAATTTAATTTCTGCAGTGTCCTGTAAAATAGGGAGCACATGCCTTGCATTGCTACAATGTCTGTTTGATATAGTTAAAACTCCATACTATCCAAGATTTTTTTGTCTTGTTTTCTGGCTTGAAATGGATCATTATTCTTAATTGGATCACACTCAAATAGTGCCTAAATCAAGTTTGTTAAATCATAAAGTTGTTTAGTTATTTCTTACCAATAGGCTGCTTTTTCATCAGAAGACCTTTAAAGTGACTACTTATATAAATCTTAAAATCTCAAATAAAAATGCACAATTTCTAGATGGGTGTGTGACTAAGAATGCAAACTTGTTCTATTAACATACAGTTAAGGTACAAGAAAGTTCCTTAAAGTGTAGCTGTAGAAATGTGAATATGACTTGTTCATTAATTACTTAAAATGTATTTTAGATATCAAAAATATCACTGCATTCTCTGGAAGATGAACAAGTAGAAGAACTTGCAGTGCTCAACCAGGAAGAACTTGAGGCTATAAGAAACCCGGATATTGTAACCAATCAGATAGCTCTTTTAGAAGCACAATGTAATGAAATGAAACCAAACTTGGGTGCCATTGCTGAATATAACAAAAAGGTAATCATACTTTTTTAAAACCAGTATCTTGAATTCGTACAAGCAATTACAGATCTGTGGCAAGACTGTTACCTGAAATGCTTGTTTGACTAGTATTTCTTGTTTGTCATTGAGAGAACCTCTCCTTATAAAGAGCTAAGTAGCATTACTTCCTAAAGAAATTATAGATTCCTTACAAGTGCTCACTTAAGCTTGCATGCTTTAGGAGAAAGAGGTTGGATAAATCCCATACCAGAAATATTTCCTAAGGAAATTGTGGGCTTGTTATGTGAATGCTTGCCTACAATTTCCAAGAGAGTGCATTGTGTTCGGTAAGCAGGACCTGTGTGTATAGCCCAGGCATAGGCAAACTCTGCCCTCCATGTGTTTTTTTTTTTTGGCCTACAACTCCCATAATTCCTAGCTAACAGGACCAGTGGTCAGGGATGATGGGAATTGTAGTCCCAAAACATCTGGAGGGCTGAGTTTGCCTATGCCTGGTATAGCCCAACTTCTAGATACCTTCTCAGAAAGTCTCTTCTTTCGCAGTTTTTGTATGGAGCATTAATTGATGGAAGGGGAATGCTAGGACAGTCTACTTATGCCCTTCCTTTGCACGGGTGCCAAACATACAAGTCAGTTACATCATAATCAATGTTTGAAACTCCTATTGTTCTAGACACATTTGTGACAGGGAATTTCATTAGCATGAGCAGTTTCTGAGTTCTGGGTGCAGTCCTGCGCCTGAGATTTCAGATTAAAACTGCAGAGTGGAAGGAAAGGAGGACCTGTTCTGCCTCCCCACTTCCAGCTACAATCTGAAGACTGGACCCTCTGAAGAGACCCTGTTAAGAATATTAGGGGGTGGGGTAGGCCAGAGAAGGACTAGACCATGTGAAAAATGAACTTAATATTTTAACTGCAGTTCATTTTCAGCTTTGTATTCTTGTTATTAAAAAAGTGAGCCTAGACGTTTCGTTATTGCACCCATAACCTATGTTTAAGGTGACATTTAGCTCCTAGCTTTCATATCTCAATTTCTAACACTGTTCACAATGGCAACAGAAACGTACCTTTTGTATATTAAAATTCTGGATAAATAGAATTTTGTACTTAAATCTATCTGATCCTTAGGAGTCATATCGAATATGCACATTTATCTTATTTTCAATTTTTAGGAGGAACTGTACTTGAAACGTGTGGCAGAGTTGGATGAAATAACCAATATGAGAGACAAATTTAGGGAAGCTGAAGAAGATCTTAGAAAACAAAGGCTTCATGAATTTATGGCAGGATTTAATGTAATAACAAATAAACTAAAGGAAAACTACCAAATGCTTACATTGGGAGGAGATGCTGAACTGGAGCTTGTAGATAGTCTGGATCCTTTCTCTGAAGGAATCATGTTCAGGTGGGTATTTTCTGTAAATATCTTGAAGGTATTTTGATGGTCCTTTTACCAGCTATATGTGGTATATTTAAGCTTATTAAATGTTGACTGCAGAATTAACCAAACTTGGCTGACTCACATGTAATACTAAATTATAGTTTAGTAGCATTAGAAGGACTGGTCTACATATTTGTTAAGATTGTGAACTAAGACAAAATTCACTAAACTTGTTTTTTGTATATAGAGCAGCCATCAGATCCTAATTCGAAATACTGAAGTGGCATAATAGTGCTCTACCAAACAGCACCGTTTAAAAATTACTGAGATAATGTATATAGCATATACTTCTAACCTGCTTAGCAATGCTTAAAAGCTTGGTTGTGGAGATTGTAAATTGTAAGCTCATAAATATATTCCTCTTTCAGTGTTCGTCCACCAAAGAAAAGCTGGAAGAAGATTTTCAACTTGTCAGGTGGCGAGAAGACACTTAGCTCGCTGGCTTTGGTGTTTGCTTTACATCATTATAAACCAACTCCTCTTTACTTCATGGATGAAATTGATGCAGCCCTTGATTTTAAAAATGTATCCATCGTAGCATTTTACATATACGTAAGTAGTACAGAAGCCAATATCCAAGTTTTACATTTTTAGTGGTATCAAATTAATGCTAGTTTTGTGTAAAATAATTAGAAAAGGTCTTGGGTATGTCTGCTTCTGGTGCATGTCAATGAAGAGCAGTGTTTCTCTGACTGAAGTGAAGTTACCCAAAAGGAAAGGGTTAAGTCCCAGTACTGTCCACAAAAATAAGGAAAATGTCATTAAGTCTTTGAATTTACATCTTAGTTGCTTGGAGCCTTCCCCAGTTTGCGCTTGCCTTTACTACAGAACAGCTTTTTTCACAAACAGGTAAACTGTTGACGACTGTTAACAACTGCAATTGGTCTTTGAGATCTTATATAGAATGTCCTGGGAGACTGAAGTGTTCTCCTACTGGACATAAATCTGACATTAGGAATCACAAAACAGAGAAACCAGTAGGAGAACACTTCAGTCTCCCAGGACATTCTATACAAGATCTCAAAGTAGCTGTCATATTACAAAAGAATTTCAGAAATAGACTGGAAAGAGAAGTTGTTGAATTACAACTTATTACCAAACTTAAAACCATGGAGAGACCTGGTCTGAATAGAGACATTGGATTCTTATCTTATTGTACATGATAAAGCTATTTTTGGCCAACTCATCCCTTGCTTTTTCCTCTAAGACCAATTGCAGTCATTAACAGTCGTCAACAGGTTTACCACACCTATCAGCCAATCACCCATTCCCACCACCCTTCTGAGTAATACTCCTCTCCACCTTCTCAATATATATAAAGGTCTGGTGACTTCTGTTTCAGTGTATCTGTAGTATGCATAAACACGAAAGCTCATACCAAGAACAACCTTGGTCTCTAAGGTGCTACTGGACAATTTTTAATTTTTTTTTATATATTTCTAATGGATGAGAATGAACTAGTCTTGGTGGTTGTTAATTACTAGCACTACTGCTTAAAAAAAAACTGGGAAACTATTGTGGTTTTTTTGCCAGGCTCATTACAAATCCTAATTGAAAATATGTTTCAATTTCTAGGAACAAACAAAAAATGCACAATTCATCATCATCTCTCTGAGAAACAACATGTTTGAAATTGCGGATAGACTAATTGGGATTTACAAGACTTACAATACCACAAAAAGTGTTGCAACAAATCCCAAAGTGATTGCATTGAAAGGACTTGCTGAACTTGGTTCTGTAGGGTGCTCCTGAATACAGAAATGACTTCTATTTAACCAGTCGACTTTTCTAATGAACATTTCCTAATACACATTTTCCCCCAGTTTGTGTTTTTAAATGCGTTAGCAACCTTTTCAAAGCTACTAGCATTTTGAAAGAAAGAAAAGGAAGTTCTAAACTGCAACTAGATGTACATTGCTCTGTGGTGCTTAGCAATCACCATTCCATGCCAGTACACTTTATTTTTGAGGTAAAGCCTATAATTGTTTTTAAAGCATTTAATGTTTTTATTTGTTAAAATAAAATCATAAATTGACTGAGGTGTGATTTCCTTGTATTCCTACATATATACCAACTTCTAAAGAAAACTGAAATGTGTGGAAACTATAGGTTCATATTACATATACAGTTGCAGAAGCCCTCACCTCCTTACCATTGTTAAGGTTGCCATGTTGCAAAGTTGCTTGTATTCTCCAGCGTTTCTTGTGCTGCGGCAGTCTGCTTCTGGAGAATTGCTGGCCTTGGTTTTTAGGAGGGCTTCCAGCAACACTGTAGGTGTATTTCTCAAATTGAAAGTTAAAATGCCGTTTAAATTTTACTTCAGCTTATTTCTCTTATGGGACAGAGGCAACATTTCAAGCCTCATTTTGTTGTAAGACAGAAAGAGCATCCCTGAGGAGAGATGGCCTCTTTCTCCTGGTATACCTTCCTGCACTTAGCTTCCTCATCTAACACAGATTGGAAAAAGCTTCTGCCAAAGCAAAATAAATGTGTAGCCCTTTTGCACTACCCAAACCATTTGCTCCTGGAGCAAGTGAAGGTTTGTCTCGGTACAGAGGCTACATCTGAAACATGAAAATGAGATTTCTAATTTCTTGTTTGTTTGTTTTTAATAAAAATGTTAACTGAAGGTATGCAAGCACAGTTCAAAATTCTTGGTCCTCCGCTATAACCATGCTGGTCAGTGAGCAGGCCGGAAACAAAGACTTTTGCTAATGACACCCTGAAGGTCCTTGAGATGTGTTTACTTGCAGGCTTCAATCTCAATGAGAATTCATTGTTGAGGTGCTGGATGATATCTTAACACCACCACCCTTTCCCTCTCTAGTTGGGAATGGGATGAACTCCACAGGTCCCATAAAAAGATATTTTGTTTTGAACAATTGATGTTTTCTTCCCTGGTCTTGTGCAGTATGGGTGAGGCTAAAGAAAGCAGACATGATTCTCTTGAAAGAAGGCAGATGGAGCAAACCACATGTAGTGCAAGACTCTAGCTAGGTGGTGCAGTTCTCCTGGCTGACACTGAATAGTTGACAACCTTCCACCTCCTGGGAGATGTATTAATTACATTTAAGTCTCTGCTGAAGGTATTTTTTTTTTCTTTTGACCTAGATGACTAGATACCTTAAAAGATCTGAGGTACAGGCCCATATGGCACAATTAAGTGCTACTGATTTCAATGAGATTTATTCCCAAAGTAACCAATATATGTCCAGTGGCAAGAACATTTATAGATTCCTACTTGTTCATTTTACTCTAAGTATACCCTTTGCAACCCAATGATAAGGATATGATCATTGGTCTATGGGAACCTGAAATTTACAGGCCTCTCTGTCTCCCAAGTGGAATGTTTCCTGACTACATTATATGTGCACAACTGATTTTGAAAAGACCGAATCCTCCTTTCTGGAAAATTTAATCCTTAACCACCCCCAATAATGTGAATGGTACACAAGGGCAGCAAAGTTAAGTTTTTCAAGTTTTATTTAAAATACCTTCAGAAGGAGGTTTGTGATAGAGATGTGACAATTGTCAGCAAAGGTTGTTCGCTGTAATGAAGATTAAGATATTAGTACATGGAAAAATACAAATTCTGCAATCCGAAAAACTGGAAAAATAACTTCAATACATTTTCATATTTTTTTTTACATTTTAAAAGCATGAAGCTGAATACGTAATAAAAAGCCCCACAATTCTTAGGGAATAAATTATAGGTGCAAGTTACATAAGGCTGTGGTGGGTGAACAACCAAAATATAAATCCCATAGGGACTGCTCCACTAGGCAAGATATCAGTGTGTAGCTGCCCACCATCCAAGTCCTAAACATGGTAAGTGGTAAGATTGGCAAATGATGTACTAAACTACTAAGTAGTTTAGTTTTCAGTTCCCATCTGGCTCTTGTGATGTGGTCCAAAGGAAAGTAGAGCAATACATTTGACACCAACGTGCATGCAGGAGTTGCCAGAAAGACGTACAAGGTGCCACCTTCTCCCACAGATACCGTATTGGCCTGAATATAAGCTGCACCCAAATATAAGCTGCACCTTTAAAATTCAAGGTGGGGGGGGGAGACAATACCTGAATATAATTCTATCATAAAAGCCAGTTTTTGTAAGGTTGTGAATTTAAGCCACACTAACTTTTTTGGGGGAAAGTGAGGCTTATATTCAGGCCAATACAGTATTCTGCAAGGCAGGGGTTTAGTAGTTTTCCTTCTCCCAGGTGGGCTGCCTTCCCAGGTTGAGGAGCCACATTTGCCCCTCAATTCTCCCTCTACAGCAACATGCAAAAACCCTTCTTGACCGTTGGACCCACTATTGGTCTCATTCGCTCAATCCACTGCAGGCTGTCTTTGCATGCAGGGATAGTGCAGATAGTGCCCATGAGTGGGCAAACTACCCCAGGAGCATGACGTCCCCCACCAGAAGTACTACCCCTTGCCTAACACCCCATAGATATGGAACAGCTTATTACCAAATGCAGCAGTGCCTATTTAAACATACAATCCACATCCAGGTCTGTGCTGAAAATTTCAGATGATCAGTGCAGGACACACATATTCACCAGAACAGCGATGCACTTGTCCAAAGGAACATTCATTTCCTGTAACTTACACATTTAGAGTGACATGACATCTTGGAACTTAGATGGGGCTGTCGCCTGTAGGGGTTATGTCTACTCTTGAATCTCTCCAGGAGGCACTTCTAAGGTATTTATAAGAAAAATTTTCCAGCGACCTTCTTAGAACTGACTCAAGTTCAAACCTCTGTTGAGCCATAAAGGTAGAAATCCTGTGAGATTTCTAATAGATCCTTACCCCACTCTGAAGTAAGCTTCATAAAAAGTAAGAGACCTATTTCTGAGTAGAAGTATTATGAATTGTGTATTATGAGATAAGCAACGTAGTCTGTTGAAAAGTGTAAGTCTATATCTCTAATTTGATAAAACGTGTAATTCATTTATACAAAAATATACAGTGAACATACAGAAACATTGAATCCACCAAGTCTTATGCCAGCAGAAAAACTAGTTTCAATTACGGCATACTATTGCCTTCTGCGAATATCCCTAACATAATCACCAAACTACATATACAGGTACAGTTCTGGTTTGTAGGGTTTTGTGATTTCCTACAACAGCTGTAAAGCAAACACCTTCTAATGTTCCCAGACATGCTGTTTTGTCGCTTTGGGAATTATTGGCAGTTATTTTTCATACTAGTTAACGATTAACTTTGTTTTCCAGGAAAAAATGCATTTTGAAATCTTTGGTACTTAAAACATTAAACACTGATGGGGCAACTAAGAAAATTAGTGGAAGGTTATAGGGTACTTAAGATTAATGTGTCACTAAAATACTATGACATTCATTCCAGCTCTTTTTGCACTAAATAATACTTTGGAAATAGTGTTTATAAAATATGTAAAAGTGTAAGTAAAGACAAACAATGATTGAAGGTCACAAAGATGTGATAGCAGAGGATGCTAATTCAAGGGAAAGTCTACTATAGCTCCCAAACTGCCTTTACAGGACCGTTTAATCTTTACTTCTTTTTTAACACTTTATTTGCACTTTAATCTTTACTTATATCAGTTTGTGAACATATTCTGAGACCAGAAATTCCCATGTATTGGTTTCATTTTAATAAAATTTCCATCCCCTTACTATAAATTGTTGCTGGTAAATCGGCCAATAGGCTCAGTCATCTGATCTTAATGGCTACCATTCGAAGTTTAACAAGAGGCTATAAGAATCTGTTTTTAAAAATTAAAATAATCCATGAGGTCCTTAATATAGCACAGGTTGCTACTTGAAATATTCACATGGAACTAGGAAATATTCTGTATAGGCATTCAAGTAGAAAATTAGAGGTATACCACAGGGTTCCCACCACCATCTGAAACCTCTTACTAAAATCTTGATAGAATGTTTCCAAGGACTCCATAACAAAGGGGAATGCTACTTCCTTTACAAATGGAAAGGGATGTTGGCTAAAGATAATAGTAGCCACAACTAAGAAAGTGAGTATAACTGCCAGATGCTTTAAGGACCTGAAGAATTCTTTACGTGATTTCTTCTCCTTTTCACAGCCATGGCTACATATTTTTTCTTTTGAAATTAGCTTTATTTTGGGAATGACAATCTTGTTGACCTGACTAATTTCACTTTTGGACCACACATCTTTCAGCACCTGCCCTATTCGCGGGTAGATTTCTACAGGCTTTATATTTGGTAACGGCTTTTCCTTCAAAGCTTTAACACGCTGGCGAATATCATCAACCTTCTCCAGAAATAAGAGGGGAGATTCCTCCTCCTGAATGGCTGTATTCAGTGACATCAATTCAAGTTGTTCTTCCCGTATGCCTTTCATATTTTCAATTAGAGGTTCATATTCTGTCTCAATTTGCATGTTCACTTCTTCCAAAGCTGCAAGCAAAGCTTGTTTTTTGTGATCAAGTAAATCACTGAGTCTCTTGAAATATTGCAACACAGTTTTTTTATCCTCCTGGACAATGCTCTCACATTGAGCTTTATGTTCTTCCAGGTTTTCAATAAGTAAACACACTTCACTCCAGTGTTTATCTGTCAGCTGTTCAAGGAGTTTGCCTGGAGTTTCCTTTTCTTTCATGTAGGCACTTTGAAGGTCGTCTATGGGATGGCCATGGTGTTTTCCTATTGTAAGACAATGGCCACATACTAGTTTTTTGTCTTGAAGACAGTAAACATTTAGAGGTTGTCTATAATGTTCACTACACGTAGCGACATCTGGATGGTCCTCTTGCTGATACTTTTCAATTATAGCCTTTAATACAAAGTTGACAGGCAAAGATTCTGTGCCAGTCGGTGGAATTTCCACAATGCTTCTACAGTTGGGACACTTCAGTGGAAGTCTTAAGGGTCTCCATATGGAAAAGTTGCCTGATAACTGAAGAACACTTTCCAAACAGTTTCTACAAAAAGTATGTGAACATGGCAGTACACGAGGGTCATCAAATATACTGTAGCAAATGGAACAAGTTAGTTCCTCTTCAAAATGATGCATTTCCTAAAAATAAAGAGGGAAACGTTTTTAAAGTTATATATATATGTAAAGTCTAATAGAATCAAGTCATTCTAAGTTGGTTTAATTAAGCTATAGTATTTATTGCATGTTTTTCAACATAGTTTAAGAAATTAATATAGAAATTGTTTTTTCTTTTTTAAAAATGTGGAATGGGCCAAAAACTAATCAGTTATATATTACGGATTCCCACTTACTCTATAAAATGATGTGTTGCCAAGCTATAACTAGCACAACCCTCTAATGAAGCAAGAAAGGGGTTTCTGTCAAACCATCATACATGGACCATATGATCAGAGAAATCAATGCTGCTTATGACTTAAAAAGTATATATCTAAATTATGCCACCACTCGTTTAGTCATCTTAGTCGTGTTCAACTCTCTGTGACCCCATGAGCCAGAGCGTGCCTTGGAAACTCACTTTCTTCTCAAAGCTTCTCCTTATTTATGTTCATTGAGTTTTGTTGGCAAAATACTGGAGTGGTTTGCCAGTTCCTTCTCCAATCACCACTCATACATACAGTTTTTATGGGGCTAATGTCATAGGTTTTCTATATATTTTTTATTCAAGTACATTTCTGTTCTTAAATAAAAGTATACATTAGCTATGCAAAAAGACACTTAGAAAACATTTCCTCTTAAGCAATGGATGTATTATCACAGGTAAACTAAAGAGTGTATTGAGGTTCATTTATGTCATCAGCAACATTAAGCCATAAATGCACTTGTTCATTGCAGGACTTTTATTGTCAGACTAGGGCTGCCTACTCATGTTCAAATCCCTACTCAGCCATGAAGCTGAGTGGGTGGCCTTGTGCTGGTCACCAATTCTCAGCCTAACCTACCTAGCTCAATTATAAGGATAAAATGAAGATGAGATGCTGTATGCCCAACTAAACTGATTAGAAGGGACGGATAATAAAAAGGTGATAAGCTGCAAGCTTTAAAGGAAACAATATGTTTTAAATAACTTTCCTACACCTGATCTGTATTAAAACTGAAGACGTAGTTCACCCAGACCGAAATAAGGCTTCCTTTTAGAGAATGTTAGGATAAAGGAGCCCACCTCTTGTATCTCTGCAGGAGCTACTGACCAGTATATGCCACCAATTTGGAAGGAGGCAAACCTAGAGCAGTGACTCAAGAGATGCAACAGCACACTCCTTCAAGTGCAAGTAGTTCTGCTGTCTTTCTGAATCAAGAGTGATGGACTGGTCCAAGTGTACTCAATGCAGCAGACTGAATAATAGGAAACAAAACAGTAAATCATTCAGAGTCAAGGGAGGTATCTATTCCTTGTAGCATACCAGCAGGGACAGCACACACTTTGGAGATGACTTCTTCAAAAAGCTATATAGAACTGTTTTTTTGGGAAGGAGTGCTTAAAGAAAAAAATAAAACGAATGTCATAAGGTAGCCAAATGTTTCTTTTCCGCTCAAAGAGAATTTATGTGAAACTTAAATGCATCAGATAAAGTTAATTAACCCAATAAAAATCACTGTTCACTTTAAAATAGGATTGTCTCTCCTTCAATGGGCAAAGGGAGAGGAAGTAGGACCGGCAAGACAAAGCAGACAACATTTCCCACAGCTCACCCATCCAGTCAGTCAGCCAGTGTTGTGTAATGGATGGAGCAGGGGTGCACAAACTCTGGCCCACCAAATGTTTCTGGACTACAACTCCCATCAGTCCCAGCCAGCATAGTCAGTGATGAGGGATGATGGGAGGTGTAGTCCAACATTTCATCTGGAGGGGCTGCAGGTTGTGCCCCCCCCGGGGTAGTGTTGGACTAGGGCCTAGGAGACCAGGGCTCAAATCCTCACTTGGCCATGAAGCTCACTGAGTGATTTTGGGCCAGTTGCTGCCTCTCAGCCTGACCTACCTCGCAGGGTGGCTGCGGGGATTCAAAGAGGAAGTGGAGAACTATGTACACCACCTTGAGCTTCTTTGAGAAAAAGGTGGGATACAAAAGCAATAGTAATAACAAGCGGGCCAGTGACACTTGATGACAAGGCCCTCGAGGCACTGCCAGTCTAAAGGTGCTGCAAAGGTCTTTGGGATGGGAGGCTGGAGCTGCACAAATGGCTGCAGGAATCTATTCTGTCATGAAGTAAGACATGATTGCACAACACTTCAGCTTCAACCATGATTAACTATGTTTTAGCTTTTTCTATTTTACCTGTAAACTGCCTTCAGTCCCACTCTGGGGGAAAGGCAGTATGTGAATAAATGTAAGAACAACAACTATGGTTACCACCAAACATCGCTTAGTGCTAAATGTTGGCAAAGCCTTTGAAATGTACCTTGCCAGGAAAAATCAGTATTGAAAATGACATGTTCATTGTCACTGATTGTTTAGAAAGGGGGAATCCTTCAAAGGCAGTGCCATGTTAAGTGTCAGCTTCAGCATCCTGCAAGCTTGAAGTTTGTTTTTTATCACAAGGTTTAAAAAAAAAATAGAGCAAGATCACCTATTTTTGGTCAGTCGTGATTTGTGAACATTCCTTTGACCTCTGCTCCATCCAGAGAACAGCAGGTTGATAAATTACCTTCTCTTAACTGTGCTTCCTTCAGGCAAGGAACGGAGCTCCAGAGTTAAGCAGCCATTCTCTTTTCCATGGCCACACCCCTTCTCCAAAGAGTCTTTTGGTCTTGCAAACAGTCTAGTTGTCCTGTGATTGAAGTCTGGAACTTACTTAATCCACAAAGCATTGAGTCTGTCTTCTTTCCTGGTGTTCCAGAGGAAATGCTTAATCCTCACTGCTGAGAAACTCCATAGCACATTTACCATTGTCATCTGAGCGGTGATCAAGAATCTTGGCAATGAGATAATTTGCTGCAATGTTGTCTCCAGCTTGCTCTCTGAAAGCTTGTGCAGGAATGTAAACACAGTTTTGTGACTGCAGAATTCTTGCCTCTTGCACAAGATAGAAAGCCCAGCCTTCATCCCACAGTAATGGTCCAGGCTTCAATAGCTTCATTAAGTGCCTGTTGCAGGAAACTCAAGTTATGCACTAGAAACAAAGTCCCTTGTACAGGTGTTACACCAAATGATCAGTAAATACAGATATTATTTTGCTTGTGCAATGATGTCCAAGGTGTCTTGATCCAGATTCTCCTTTGTTTTGCTTCTGGGAAGCTGAGATTTCCAGAATTAACTCAGAGAACAAGCTTTTAATGGAATCTTTTGACTTGACGTGATGATGCTCATAAAATCTGACAAAGTCAAGCTGTTCTCTGGAGTTAACTGAAGTGGATATCCAGATGAGTCATCATTCTGAAAAAAACAGGTGCAAAAGGTACAGGAACTTGCACCTACCTGATTGTGCTGTTATCAAAATGTTTCTTCCAAAAATATTAAATTAGTGTCAGTCTCCCAAATACTACATTCATTGTTAAGAAGTTAAAGTTCCAGCATGTCCAATATAATCTGGGGATTCTTCTTCTTGCAACACCCTCCAAAACTGCATTCCTTTTTGTGCTGCTGGCAAAGGATGCCAGGAAACCAAAAAAAGGTCTGGAAATCACTTATTTGATTTGTAAAGCTGTTGGTTTTATCACCAAGTTCACTTGAAAGGTACAGCTATGAACATACTGGGCAGCAGGATATATGTCCTGGATCCTCTTCTGCATTCCTATGCACTCCCCACAAAATCTGATTACCCCATTGTAGCTCTGAATAAAGAGTTGCTGCTTGTTACGTCTCCTCCTAGTACATCTCTTTCAGCTGCTAATGCACAACTATAACAATAGTATTCCTTCAGTGTGAATCCACTGAACCATTCCACTGGTGAGCAGTCACCATATGGGTGAACACATTGGTTGCGTCCTCAGTTTCAATAGTCAGAAAATGACTTTAAATAGTCACAAAAAGCCTTTTGACTTCTGTTTAATATGATGCTTCACCGGCATCTATATGCAGTCAAGCATATTGTTTCTTTCACAGACCTTAGAACACTCTGGAACTATGTACGTGAAGTTCCATGGATGAGTCAACCGACGTCAAAAGAGTAAACATTAGTTGAATACAACCAAGGATTTTCTGAATCCGGCAGGCAGAATTCAACACTGCACTCTTCCAATTGTTCCGTATGCACAAACACCCCACTTCCACCTGAGCACTGTTCTGAAGGTTCTCCCAAACCTCCTCCTGGAGGCAAATTTCAGGGGACATGAAGTGGGGGAAGAGAGCTGGGTAGAGCTCCATGGTACAAGTGGAAGTCCTTGCACAGGACTTTCACCAGTGGGGCTGGTTAGGTAAATTCTGCCTTGTCATGACCACTAAGCATCAGTGGAAAAGCACCCCAGAAAGGCTATTTCTGTTGTTCTTTTCATGACTGTGCTCTCTTACACACAGTTGCCTTTGTCCACCGAAGAACGTAAGATGTGTCACACTATGCTTCAAAGAGGGACAACTGTAGATTTTGGCCATCTGTCAGGGTGCTTTAGTTGAGATTCCTGCATTGCAGAGGGTTGGACTAGATGACCCTCTATGTCTTTTCCAACTCTACAGTTCTATGATTTACATCTCCCCAACAATTTGGCTTAAGGTTTGCAAATGATGGCTTGTTGGGGAGCCACAAACTAGAGTCCCTGCATTGCATATCCCACACATGCAAGGGGAAGAGCAAAACAGGAGTAATCAGGCAGAGCATATCAACATACTGCTCATTCACAATAAGCCATGGGTCATAAAGTTTGGTTTGTCATTCATGTGAACACAGCTATTGTTTAGGAAATATATGATGTAGTATCGGCAGGACACAACTGAAATCAATGCTTTAAATTTGCATTTTTTTCTGATTTAAGTAACTGACTTGATATGACTCAATTTTAATCAATCTACACTGGTTGCATGGCTAAGGAAACAGTAGTAATGTACCTTAAAAATGTAAACAAAACCCAGAGTATTTGGAGAAAATTCCATTAGATACAACAGAAAAATATAATAAATAAAACAAACAAATAGCAAAGTACAATTTTCAATACTCACCGAGAAGATATAGTGAAGTCGTATTTGTCAGCCCTGGGATTGGTATATTCTAGAAATAACAGTTCTCTATTTATCTGGAATAAAAAGTGAAGAATTTGGCGATTATGTTTTCCAAGCTGGACATTCAGGGGTGATAACAAGCAGTAAGGCATATTTTCTGAGCTGAAGTAGTGATGCAGAAATCCTCTAATTATAATTTATTCACAATGGGCTGAACCTGTCTAAGAATAAGGCAAAAAAGTTTGTTCTCAGCAGGGAAACCTTTCCCTCCATTCCTTAGTTCTCTACCACTCTGATGACTAGTAATTATATGAAAGGAAAAATGCACTCCTGCTTACAAAAGTTTATTGCCTCATCACTGATGTTTCTCAGCAAATAAAACAAAGAACTTCTTTCACAATGACCTATAACTCCAGCATCAGTGAAACTTGTTTTAAAAAGAAAATGCTATGTATTGCATGGATATTTTGTTGCACATCACACAAAATAATACGTAAGTAGTCTTCCAATGACTATAGTACAATTTCTTCGTAAATTAGGAAAGGGGCGTGGCTCGGTGGTGGAGCACATTTCTTCCAAGCAAAAGGTCCCAGGTTTAAACAGCAAGAGCCTCGTTTGAAATCCTGACAAGGTACTGCCAGTCAGTGTAGACAATACTAAACCACTTAGCCTCTTTGGCTTTCCGATAACAGTTTGAACGCCTGCGATGGGGTGAACTCCCGTTGCTTTGTCCCAGCTCCTGCCAAACTAGCAGTTCAAAAGTATACCGGCACAAGTAGATAAATAGGTACTGCTGCTGCAGGAAGGTAAACGGTGTTTCTGTGCGTTCTGGTACTCGTCATGGTGTCCCATTGTGCCAGCGGCGGTTTAGTCATGCCGGCCACATGACCCAGAAAGCTGCGGACAAATGCTGGCTCCCTCGACCTGAAAGCGCAGATGAGCACCGCACCCCATAGTCAAATTTGACTGGTTGTCCAGGGGTCCTTTACCTTTACCAATGGACTAATGCTCTAGCATGGTATAAGGTAGTTTCCAATGTTCTTATTATACTGACACTGGGATTGGAGCCAATCTTTTTTCTAGCAGATTTTTCTTTGTACCATTTTATGTTTCTAAAAACATCTAATATTGTGCCTATATTTCACAGAAGGCCCGTCCTATGCTTCTAAGAATTCTCCTGTGAAACCCACCTGAAAACACATAGGAATTGCCATAGAGGTGTAAAAAAATACCTAGTTAATTGTTACTGGGACGCGGGTGGCGCTGTGGGTAAAAGCCTCAGCGCCTAGGGCTTGCCGATCGAAAGGTCGGCGGTTCGAATCCCCGTGGCGGGGTGCGCTCCCGTCGTTCGGTCCCAGCGCCTGCCAACCTAGCAGTTCGAAAGCACCCCCAGGTGCAAGTAGATAAATAGGGACCGCTTACAAGCGGGAAGGTAAACGGCGTTTCCGTGTGCGGCTCTGGCTCGCCAGAGCAGCGATGTCACGCTGGCCACGTGACCCGGAAGTGTCTCCAGACAGCGCTGGCCCACGGCCTATAGAGTGAGATGGGCGCACAACCCTAGAGTCTGGCAAGACTAGCCCGTACGGGCAGGGGTACCTTTACCTTTACCTTTAATTGTTACTATGGTCATTTGAATTTAAAAGTATAAAAATTATAGTTCCCTTATCAGATACCCATCTAGGAAATGATGCCAGTTTACCAAGAAATGTGACTATAAACCAAACACAATATAGCTGAAAAGTTCAGCTGGTTGCATGGGGCTGACAGTACCAAGGTTGCAGGTTTAATGCCTGTAAGAGACAGCTGGATATTCTTGAATTGCAGGGGAATGGAATAGATGATCCTCGGGGTCCCTTCCAACTCTTATGATTCTATAAAATAACTACCAAACTTTTAGAAGACATCTGAAGGCAGCCCTGTTTAGGGAAGCTTTTAATGTTTAATAGGTTATTGTATTTTAGTGTTTTATTGGAAGCCGCCCAGAATGGCTGGGGAAACCATTATTAATTATTATTATTATTATTACTATTATTATTATGATGATGAGATACAGTGGTACCTCAGGTTAAGTACTTAATTCATTCCGGAGGTCCGTTCTTAACCTGAAACTGTTCTTAGCCTGAAGCACCACTTTAGCTAATGGGACCTCCCGCTGCCGCCACGCCGCTGGAGCATGATTTCTGTTCTCATCCTGAAGCAAAGTTCTTAACCCGAGGTACTATTTCTGGGTTAGCAGAGTCTATAACCTGAAGTGTATGTAACCTGAAGTGTATGCTACCCGAGGTACCACTGTATCTGCTTAAAATGGTTTAAGTCACTGAAAGACAGGCAAGCTTATTTAACTCAAGCTTTTATTATTCTGGCATGTGTCAAGCATTCACAAGTTCCAATGTAGGAAAGTAGGTAGGTGAACAGAAGTGAAATACTTTATGGAAGAAATACAAAATCGAATCTGAACTGAGCTTAAGATGGAAAGGAAAGATCAGTTCCCTGGTACTTGTTTCTTTTTAAACGCAAGTTTGCAAACAAAGTCTGAGAGTTTCTCGATATTTATTAATGCAAGTCACTGTGAACCACTAACATTTTATATTCTTAATCACAAATTAATATAAAGGGATTTAAATTTAAGTTTAAATAAGGGCAAGCTGTATATGCTTTAGATCTGGACCCCTCCGGTCATTGATTTGCCAAGTAGCCCCACTCTTGAGTAATGGTATTGTTTAGATACAAATAGCTGGAGGATCGTGACCAAAGAACAGTCACCAGAAGGGGCATTTACAACTTAAGGGATAAATCAGTATAGCAAGAAGTTGACTACAAACGATACTTGCCTTTGAGTTTTCTGGGTCTTAGGACAGCTGTATTGTTCCGATATGCATCCAAATGCCAGAGCAGAGTGGTAGTAACGAAAATGCCACGAAGTTCTTGGTGGTCACACTCTTTTCCCCCTCCCAAAAGGAGTTATCTTTACTGTTGCTCTTCTTTCTACCTACAGAAACAGGAGCACCTTTTCAAGCCTCTCTCCGCCACTCCTTTAATTTCTCCCCAAACACTTCGGGGACGGGGCAGTCACGATAGCAACGACCTAGTACGCCCATAAAAGCCTACCCCCCCTCCATTTTTATTCTTCCTCAAAATAATACACGTATCCAGCATTACAGGCTCACCTCCACCTGCGGCAGCAGATCCCTCGCTCTCCGCAAATTCCTCTCAGCTTCCCCTGAATGGATCCCAGCCGGGGGCTGCTAAACCCTTCTTCCCCTCCTCCTCCAATCAGAATCGCCGGAAAGGAGGAAAGGGAAGCAGCCGCGGCAGCTCGCTGCTGCGCACGCGCCTGGGCAAGCCGGTCGTCTCGAGCCAATCAACCGCTTCGGAAGGATCAGTTCAAAAGTAAACGGCTGGACGAGGGAGGAGAATTTTATGAACGCGGTACAACAGTTCCCTCAGGTCAGCCGTTAACGGCTGCTGGAGCGGGCTGCGCCTTAGAACGTATTCTGTGTATTTTTGCCCCTTTCTGTTTCTTTCTTATCCCCACCCCCGCTAAGAAACTTTGGATTTCTCTTCCATAAACGGTGGATTATTTTTTTTTAAAGAGAGAAATTAAAAGTTAAAACCTTACCAGTCAGACATACTTTTCAAAATGATGTGATTTTAAGAGGGGGAAAAGTCAACAGAATATCGGCACCCTAACCATGCAGGCTCAAGCCACCCCAAATTAAACTGGGCTAGGCCCCATTGATTTCAGTAGTAGGTATGTGCTAATAACTGTATGAATTATTGCACTGAGATTTTAAAATAGCTAACTTTGTCTGGGTTGTGCCTAAAAGCAAAAGTTCCTGATTTGGGGAAAAGAAGCACTTGTGCCATCTATCTAAAAATATAGAAATTCACATATGCAACCAGTTGTCTGTAGAATCTCAGTCTTCCAGAATTGTCTGACATAACCAAGAAATGAGCTCTATGCTTTTATAGACTTTTATAGACTTAGCTTTTATAGACTTAGCTCGCTAATTCACAACTAATTAGTTAGCAAGTTCACAGGCTCAGTTCACTCATAATGCTAAGTCAGACTAGCTGAAGAAGTGTGCATGCAGATGAAAGATCATACCAATAACAAACTTACTTGGTCTCTACTGTGCTACTGGAAGGAATTTTTTTATTTTGTTTTGACTACGGCAGACCAACACGGCTACCTACTTTTAAGCTTACCTGTGGGTTACCAAAGCATAGATTTCAGCCACTGTTCCCACACTACCAGATGCTAAGCCATGGATTGGTTTACCACTACACCTGGACCCAGGCTTGTGGTTTATCTCCCCTAGATAAGCGACGTAGGAAAGTAAGGACAAACTCTTAAGCAAGTGAGCACTCTTCAACATTTGCACTAAAACAGTGCTCACTAACAGTTTCTCGCCATCCTGGAAAAAAGTGACAAGTGGGGTGCTGTAGGGTTTTGTCCTGGATCCACTGCTGTTCAATGTCTTATAAACAATTTGGATGACGGAATTAAGGAAATGCTCAACCAGTCTGCAGATGACACCAAAACTAGGAGGGATAGCTAATGCCGCAGAAGACAGAATCGAGATTCAGGATTACCTTAACAGATTGGAGAACTAGGCCCAAACTAACAGAATGAATTTCAATACGGAGAAATGTAAGGTTCAGCACTTAGGAAGAACCAGTTGCACAACCATAAGATGGGGAACACCTGGCTCACCAGTACTACATGTGAAAAGGTTCTAGAGGTCTTGACAGACCACAACTTTAACGTGAGTCGACAGTGTGACGCAGCGGCAAAAAAAGCTAATGCTATTCTAGGCTGCATCAACAGAAGTTTGGTGTCCAGATCAAGGGAAGACAAAGCACCTCTCTATTCTACCTTGGCCAGATCACACCTGGAGTACTGTGTCCATTTCTGGTTGCCACAATTTAAGAAGGATATTGACAAGCAGGAATGTGTGCATATGAGGGCAACCAAGATGATGGTCTGGAAACCAAGCCTTATGAGGAATGGTTGAGGAAGCTGGGTTTGTTTAGCTTGGAAATGAGGAGACTGAGAGATGACAGAAATCTTCAAATATCTGAAAGGCTGTCATGCTGAGGATGGAGCATTCTTATTTCCTCCTGCTCTGGAGGGTGGGGCATGAACCAATGGATTCAAGTTATGTACAAGAAAAGAGATTCCAACTGAGCATCAGAAAGAACTTTCTGACAGTAAGAGCTGTTTGACAGTGGAACAGACTCCCACGAGAAGTTGTAGACTCTCCTACCTTGGAGGTTTTTAAGCAGAGGCTGGAAAGCCATCAGTCATGAATGATCTAGTTGAGATTCCTGCACTGCAGGAGGTTGGAGTAGATGACCCTCGGGGTCCTTCCCAACTACAATTCTATGATCTATTATTCTAAGTTTCCAAGCACCTTGTTAAAGATATGTTAACTGAGCATTAAGGTAAAGGTACCCCTGCCCGTACGGGCCAGTCTTGACAGACTCTAGGGCGAGCCAGCGCAGCACACGGAACGCCGTTTACCTTCCCGCTGGTAAGCGGTCCCTATTTATCTACTTGCACCCGAAGGTGCTTTCGAACTGCTAGGTTGGCAGGCGCTGGGACCGAACGACAGGAGTGCACCCCGCCGCGGGGATTCGAACCACCGACCTTTCGATCGGCAAGTCCTAGGCGCTGAGGCTTTAAGCCACAGCGCCATCCGCGTCCCTGAGCATTAGCAGCATACTAATGTCACATGATACCAAAGATAAAGATGGTTTTTGTGATTTTCAAATAGATATTAGACAGCATCAGTAACACAATCTCTGATTATGAGATTTGGCTTATCAAAGTCAAACCGTGACCTGATAAAGATTTGACTAAGTAGATAAATCTCACCAATGACTTGGGCTAATCTACTATAGACACTGGGCTGGCTGGAGGCTGGCTGGATTATAATCCAATCTCACACATTTTCAGAATGTACACTTGTCAATAGAAAATGCTTACCTACTTCTCCAACACAAAGTGTCAGAAGTCATACTTTGGCCACTGTTAAGAGAGGACAATCCTGCAGCCAAACTTTGTCAGGGACTAATGCCTGCAAGGAAAGTGCTTCAAATGACCACTGGCAGATAGTGATATCATTACATGTAAAACAAAGAAATATTATGTCATATAGGCTATATAACATGATTTGGTCTTACTATTTTAAAGCTAATTAGTTCAATTTCCCATTAGCTTTTACTGAGAATGATTGACACAACCTTTCTAGAGGTATGGAGGTAGCATAGAGTTGGTGTCAAAAGTGACATTTTTCTCAGACAGTACTGAATTAAATCCCGAATCCTGTGGCTGTGTTGTTTAGACCAAACACCCTTACAAGATATGTAACTGTGTGAGACTATAGTTTAATAGAATCACTGTTAGTTGTTCTGCCCCCCAAAAGGGAATTGTGGTTTAATTTCAGTTTACTAACCAGGACATTAAACTTCAAACTATAATTTAAGGTCCTAGTTAGTAAACTGACATTAAAACACAGCTTCCCATTTTGGATGTAATGGGTAACTGTGGTTTAATTGAACGAGGAGTTAAGTCCCGAGAAAGAAAAGGAGGGGGAGCATGTGGTCGTCTTGCTTGTCTTGCCTGCTAAATTAGCAAGTCTGGAAATTAATGCCTGGACCAGGTCAGTACCACACTCTCACCACTTTTTCACTCTTTTCTTCAGGTGGCAGTGGAGATTCTCTGATTTCTAAACAAGCAACCCTGTTCAACATCTGCACTAGGCTGTCCTGGATAGAAAACCCAAGAAAAGAATGCAAAGCACTCCCTCTTTTGGACACTAGAAAAAATTGATCTCAACAATGAAGTGGATATGTTATATAGCACTGAGTGATTGACATTGTGATCTACCATCTGTTCCACAGATAATCCTCAAGACTTCATAAGTGAAAGAGCTCATGTATATTTTCTCTATGAACTAGAGTATTTATAATTTATGGAGTCATGCTGAAGTAAAAATGCAAACATACTGAGATATGTCTGGTAAAGTAAGCTTGAAAAAGCAAATAATGATATAAATTTGCCACTGTGTCATAAATAATGTTATGCTTATCTTTCCAGAAGATGTAAACACCTGTCTATCCTGATAAAATTAAATTTATATTTTACAGCCTCTCGTGTAAACATCTGGGAAATGTCTGGAATTGTGTCTGGAAAGATAAAATCCCATTCCCTGCCTCCCTAAATTAAATAGGCAAGCTTTGACAATACAAGCCTCCCCTCCCTCTAATCAGTGTTGCTTCCAACAGTTTTTTTTCCTTAGGTGACTTTATATGAAACCAAATGCGTTTTCTGTGAGCAGACTCATCACCACCATAGTTCCACTTAAGCCAAGCAGAATGAAACAGTGAACGTATTTCACAGAAAATCAGGAATGGAGCCATTCTTATTAATTTTTAGACATGTATGTACACCCACTTTACATAAATTCCTTAAATGAATAATCTAGCCACAGGTGCCAAGTTTCCATTATCATGGTGGCATTTTTTAAAGCCACTGCAATCATTGGAATCAGTAGTTTCACGTTTTGTTATCCGTATGAATCATGGATAATCCAGGGGCAGATAGCTTGTGTGCAGAAAACATGTGTAACGCATGCTTTTTGTTTTGTTTAAATACTTTAGATCATGGTATGAGGGTCTTATTGTGCTGGAATCCAAACTGGCATTTGTAAAAAGGTGCCAACCTGGATTCCAGCAATACTGGTGAAAATAATACCAGAGCCTTAAGCACACTTCTTTGAAAGTTAGTAACAGTTTGAGTGCAAAGATCTGGAGCAGATTTTTGCTTTGCAGGGAGGTAGACCTGACCAAAATGCAACGGCACAAGTTACTGCTTGTAGCATTAGCCACTTGGCCTATCAACAGTATCAAAGAATGTTACATTAACTGCTCCCTCAACATCCTGTAATAAACCTCAACAAGAGAGAACACAGTAGATTAAACTTTTTATTACTGTTTTCCACATTCCATTTTATGTCATACTAAATATGGTAGTCATGTGCTGTTATATTTTTCCATATATACACTTTTAATGTGTAAAGTATTCAATATCAGGCTCACCTTGGAGCAGTATGATAGCAATGCTACCAATAAAAACAAAAGTAAAACCATGCCATGGCTGGAAGTATATTATCATGTTATAGTTCAGCAAATATAGAATTAGCCTTGTATTAGCTATTATCATTTGCTGTGGACTAGTTATTGCACAACGTAGTTATCAAGCCGAGCTGCTTGCAAAGTTCAGGCCTGCTAAAAGTGCACTGCTTGTATTATTTTTATTAATTAAAT